TAGACGGTAGCATAGTGGATTTTGATCCTGTCTCTTAATGGTGTTGGTCTTGGTGGATTGTGGGGTCCAGGCAGAAACACGTTGTGAGATTGGTGCTCATGGGACTGCATAGCTCATCTCCCAATTACAGGTAATACAACATGGAGAGAATCATTATCTGTTGGGAAGAAGAAGAGGAAGGAAAGCACAAGTTCACTATCTCAAATGGCAAAGGAAGCACAGAACATCATCTGTTTTATGCAGGTTCAGCTCACTATGATGTCAGTGACACTGTTCTTGAGGATACCAACATTCCAGAGTAATAGAATATTTTGTAGAATGTTTTCTCAGGGGTCCTTGGTCAAGGCATTCATCTTTTTCTTTGAATCTAATTTTAGCAGTTGATCATGTATTTTTCTTTATTATTCTGCACAGTAATCTGGCCAAAGAATAGGGTTTGTGTGCACAAGTAGAATGTTCACAAAAGAGTGGTATAATGTGCAATATTATATACGATTATACATAATATAAAATGACCTTGCCATCTGTCAGATGTCAAAGTAAGCTATGCTTTGTAGTTATAGACATCTGGAAGAGACGAATGTGTAGACAAACACCAGAATGTGTTATGACAAACACCAGAAAAAATCCATTTTGGGCTAGATACAAATGTTTTTGGGCCTTCTCCTTGCTATTGCCTATTTCACTGCTGCTGCCACAGCCACTGCCATTATATATTGGGGTGCTTAACAGGTATTATGAGAATAAAGATGTGTAAAATCTACTAGAGCTAACACATTTAATTATGTAAGCCTGCCATGGTTCTTCCTAGATAATATCTTTTGACCTACTAAGTCAAATTTTCTTGTAAAACCAGTAGGACTAAGTACCTTTACTTATATTTATCTCCTTATACTTTCCTAAAAGGAGTAGTTAATTCACATAGGACAATTATAATGAAAATAAGATTAATACCTAAAATATGTAAAGAACTAAAATAACTCAGAAAAAGTAAACAAATAAATGTATTATTAAATAGGCAAAGGACCTGTATAGACAATTTTCAAAAGAAGGCATATAAATAATCACAACAAAAAAGTCCAATATGACTAATCATCAAGGAAATAGAAACCAAAATAAAAAACCAATTCACAGCTGTTAGGGTGGCTACTATAAAAGCAGACAAAAGAATAACAAGTATTAGTGCTGATGTAGAGGAAAAGGAAAGTTGTATTATTCAGGAATGTAAATTAAGATAGCCATTATGGAAAACAGTATGGAGGTACCTCAAAAATTAAAAATAGGAGCTGAACATAATACCACTTCATGTAATCCCAGCACTTAGGAGGCACAAATAAGACAACATCAAGTCTGAGGCCAGCTTGGGCTACACAGCAAGACACTGTCTAAGTGAAAAAACCTTAAAGAGGTCTAACTGATCTAGTAGTCCTCCTTCTGAGTATATATACAAAAGGTATGAAATCAGTAAGTCAAAAAGGTAATTCTGCACTTTCATATTCACTGTAATTATTCACAATAGCCAATGTATGATAGCAACACTTGGGTAATGTGAGGATAAAGAAAATGTAACACACATACAATGGAGTGTTAGATTTAAAAAGAAGAAAATCTGATCACTTGTAACAACATAAATGAGCTGGAGGACAATATGGGAAATAAACTAGGTAGAGAAAGACAAATACTACAGGGTCTCACTTATCTGTGGAATATAAAAAAGTTGAATGTAGAAAAGCAGAGAGTAGTATTGTGGTTGCAAGTGGCTAAGTTAGTAGGATTTTGTTTTGTTTTGTTTTGTTTTGTTTGGTCTGGTTGTGGGGCCTGAATTCTGGGCCTGGGCGCTGTCCCTCAGCTCTTCAGCTCAAGGCTAGTGCTCTACCACTTGAGCTTCAGCGCCACTTTTCTGGCTTTTTTCTTTTTGCTTATGTGGTGCTGAGGAATTGAACCCAGGGCCTCATGAATGCAAGGCAAGCGCTCTACCACTGAGCCACCTTCCCAGCCCAGTTAGTAGGATTTTGGAACAAGATTTTAGTCAAAGGATACAAAGTTTCTAGTCAGTCAGGATGAATAATTCTGGAGATCTAATGTATATCATGATGAGGATAGTTAGTAACGCTGTATTTTGTACTTGGTATTTGCTATGAAGAAAAAGAGAGTATATGCATACTCAGTTTCTATTACTCTAACTTAGCTTTTCCACTCAAGCCTGGTGCTCTACCACTTGAGCTACACCCTTACTTCTGGTATTTTCCTGGTTAATTAGAAATAAGTTTCTCAGATCTGTCGGCCTGGGTTACCTTCAAACCTTGATCCTCAGATCTCAGCTTCCTGAGTAGTTATGATTACAGGCATGAGCAACCAGCTCTCAGCTTACATAGATCCTAAACATTTTTAGCACATACATTAATGATAAGTCACTATTTCATAATTGATTTGGCTTGAATATAGTTTGTGTGTCCCTCAAGGTTTCATGTGTTAACATTTAACCCACACTGTGAGGTATTAATAAGGTGAAAACAATATGACTATGGTGTTTAGATTGGGGACTTTGGGAGAGAATTAGCATTAGACAAGGTCATTAGGATGGAGCTCTCCAATTGAATCCTGGTGACTATATAACAAAAGTGCAGCTGGGAAGGTGGCTCAGTGGTAGAGCGCTTGCCTTGCATGCCTGAGGCCCTGGGTTCGATTCCTCAGCACCACATAAGCAAAAAGCCGGAAGTGGTGCTGTGGCTCAAGTGGTAGAGTGCTAGCCTTGAGCTAAAGAGCTGAGGGACAGTGCCCAAGCCCAGAGTTCAGACCCCACGACCGGACCCCCCCCCCAAAAAAAAGAAAAAAAAATTGACATTATGGGCTGGGAAAGTGGCTCAGTGGTAGAGCGCTTGCCTTCCATGCCTGAGGCCCTGGGTTCAATTCCTCAGCACCACATAAGCAAAAAGAAAAAAGCCGGAAGTGGTGCTGTGGCTCAAGTGGTAGAGTGCTAGCCTTGAGCTGAAGAGCTGAGGGACAGCGCCCAGGCCCAGAGTTCAGGCCCCACTACCGGACCCAAAAAATAAAAAAAAAATAAAAATAAAAAGTGCAGAAGACCACAGAAACACATACCAAAGGTATACTCTGTTTCCTTGAGATACTTTGGGACCTTGCCAGTCAAGAAGGCTATCACCAGATCTGGCCCCTCAACTTTGGATCCCAAGATCTGTAAGTCAAAACAAATTTATTTTCCTTATATAATTTACCCAATCTGTGTTATTCAGTTGTTACCAATAGACAATGAGTACAATAATATGCACATCAAAATATACAATAATATTCACATCAAAATATACTCTGTAAATGTATGTAATGTTGTCAATTATAGCTCAATAAAGCTGGAAAAAAGAAAAGATTTTCATACAGAGAGACAAAAAGATAAATCTAGTTAAGTTCTTCTATTATCCAAACAAGCTAGTTTACTGGTTTATTATTAATACTTATTAGTGTACAACACTGCAAAACATAATAAAATTGACTATGGATAGCTGACCGGGGCTAAATAGAAAAAAACTTACGCACATTGCTTTTCATGATATGAAACCATTTAGGATGTGGTGAGCTGAGGTAATTATTGAGATCATTTAGGATTAAAACATGTTTCTACCAGAAATATACAAAATTAAAAGGGTATAGATCAGTAGTTGATTATAGGCTTAGTATGCTGGAGGCCCTAGATTCAATCTCCAGCACCAAACCAAACTAACCAAAGCCAAACAAATACCAACCCCCCCCCAAAAAAAAACAACAACACACACACATACACCCAAAGACAACCAACAAAACTCAAAAAGATCAAGACTATTGGGTGCTTAACTGGTTTTCTTTTTTCCCCTCCATTCTTTTATTTCGCTTGGGACAAGCAAGGTCTACACACATAAAAGTTTCCAATAGCATTTTTCAGGCAGAAAATATGCTCTATTGGAAGTATGCTGGCGTTCAGTAAACGTTTTGCGAACGTTAAATTAAAGCTGAATTTTGACTAAGGCTGCAATCATTACTTCTTGCGCTTATCCGTCATCTGTTTTGCTGTGGATCCCCAGATTATGTCTTACTGAAGCGTTTGCAAGCAGGCTGCCTAGAAACCCGTGTGTCCTGAAGGCAGCGGCGCAGGCCTGGACGCGTCCCCGCGGGGTTAAAGGGCACCACCCAGCCCGCCCAGCGTCGCGGCCGCCGCACGGTAGTCTGTAGTCTCGCGTGGTCTTGCTGGCCTCGCGTGGAGTGTGATGCGGCCTCGTTCACCACAGCAGCTGCTCGCGAGGCTGGCCTTGGAAGTCGAAGGCGAGGCCGGGTTCTGCTTCCTTGGAGGGGGTGTCTCGGCTGAGGCCTTGGCATCGTGGGCTTCGCTCCGTGGGGGAGTGAGCGCGGATGTTTGTGCCCGAAGGGGCCCCTGAGGTGGGTGGAAAAGGGGGCGCCGTATGGTGGGAGGCCGGGGCGGGCGGTGGCCCTGAGGAGAGGCCTGCCTGGGCCGTGGGCAGCGGGGGTCACGTGGCAGGGTCACGTGGGGGGGGTTGAGGACCCGCAGGCTGGGGCAGGTCGTAATTGTACTAAATTGCCCCATCGGTGCAATTAAGACCTAAAAAAAAAAAAAAATAGTGTTGGGGGAGGGAGGAGCATATGTTCTGGAAAGTTCTGGAAAGGTAGAATTTGATGATCTTTTTCTCCATTTAAAAGAAAGCATATTTCAGGAAACCAGTAGATTCAAACTTATTTCGGTGTCCACGCATGGACAATTAGAAAGGTTGCCCACCCTTTCTGGAAGTTTCAGATAAGCAACCAGGCCCAGCAGCTATTTAACACTTTCTCAGGGCTCACCAGTACTGGCCTAGGCGAGAGACACTGTGCTGAAAGGGTGTCCACCACGTTTTCAGGTGAGGTATGCTGTATCAGGAAGGTGCTCGCTTCTATGTACACTGTTCCGCACCCGACTTAAGAAAATCTTAATATATGTATTTTTTCACATAGTATCCAAGATGAACGACGGCCTGTTTGCCAGTTTGGACAAGCTTCTGTTAGAATTTGGTAGGTATAAAATGAAAATAAATAGATAACTGTTTGTATTATCATTGGACTGCAACAATGCAACAAAAAATTTAAAATAATTGTTTTTAATTTAGTTTTCCAGTATGAGCAAGACAGAAGTACTAAAGAAGATATGGTTCAAAGAATTAATAGTAAGTAGTTACATATGGCAAAGATACTTTAGTCTTTTAAGATTTATGGCATATAGCATAATACATGATTTCCCTGTGGAGGATAACTTAGAGTTGGCATTGTAACTACTGGTTATTAATGAGATATTTACCCTAATTAATACATTGTGACTTAACTAGTTTTTCAACAATAAATTAGTTTATTCAGAATTTAATTACTTATGAGTTTTCTTTCCTAGATGACTTAAGTGTAATTGAAAATTTTTTTTTTTTTTAATATCAAATAACAAGATAGTGGGACTGGGAAGGTGGCTCAGTGGTAGAACACTTGCCTTGCATGCCTGAGGCCCTGGGTTCGATTCCTCAGCACCACATAAGCAAAAAGAAAAAAAGCCAGAAGTGGCACTGTGGCTCAAGTGGTAGAGTGCTAGCCTTGAGCTGAGGGACAGCGTCCAGGCCCAGAGTTCAGGCCCCACGACCGGTCCCAAAAAAACCCAAAACAAAACAAAACCAAAAAACAAATAACAAGATAGTTTCAAATGTAAGAGAATTGTTTTTTTCTCAGAAGTCACCAAAAATCAGGGACCAAGATTGAGATAGATGGAACATTTTCAGGAATGATAATTCTGAAAAAAAAATCACAGTATCAGTAAAATTGGATGGTTAATTAACCAAATATTTTAAGTTCTTAAATACACTAAACTTAATTTTAATTTTCAGAACTGGACTGTTAACTTCTTAATTCTGGAAAGGCAGAATTTGATTTATCTTTTCTGCAATTAAAAATATATTAAATTATTTTAATATTTTCAAAATTATCTTCATATTTGATCATTAATAACAAACTAGTTGAAGGTGTATCTAGTAATCATGTGGAATTGATTAATAGAAATTTCACATTTGTCAAAACTGAAAGCCTTATGTTAGTACCCAGTAATGAACAAAATTTATAGTATTAAAAGATTGCCTGACTTTAAGTGTTACATAATCTAGCCACTTTCTGATAAAAATGAGGGTAAGGGACATTTATTTCTCTTCAATCACAAAACATAAATCCATCTTCTTCTGGGTCATGTATTAGGCCTGGTTGTGGTTTTCTACTTTTTAGTGTGAAAGCCTTTCTATCTCAGGCCTCTTTTCCTTTACATTCTCTGGGTTACCTCCTTTTAGGAAAGTTGCTATACACTTTTTTCTAGTTTATTTATTTTGAATTTATGATTTCTACACTAAAACATTTCCCTTTCAGAATGTTTTGAAGATATTAAAGAAAACAAAGAAACTATTCGTAAGATACATGAAACCATAAGTACAACAGATGAAGAAATTACTCATTACTGTAAACATAGTAAGGAAATCAAAGACAGCTGTAATAAGTGAGTATTTGAAAAAAATGAACTTTCAATAATTGTGATTTGATTCTTTTGCTTAAAGTTGAAGACATTGTTGCTCTAAAATAGTTTTGTTGCTGGGGATTGGTGCACAGGTTATTCATGGTTTATTTTGTTTTGTGCATAAGACATTGGCAAAGGGACTGGGATGTAGCTCAGTGGCAAAGCACTTGCCTAGTAAGTATAATATCCTGGGTTCAATCCCCAGTACGAAAAAAGAAAAGACAAAAAAAAAAATAAGACATTGGCATATATCCTTACCACTGAATTAGTCTTAGGGTAGTATCTATGCAACCTTTTTCATGTTTTTTTTGCTTAAACATTTTTTTTAATCATCACTTGTTTATGCTTGGCAATATGGTATTTGAACTCAAGGCCTCATGCTTGCTAGGCAGGCATACTTCTAGCCTATAAATCAGTTGCTTTGTTAGTTATATGTCGTTGTAGAAAGGATCATTGATGGTTCAAAAGAAAAATGGAAGGGCTGTAATATCTCAGTGATTCAAATCTAGTCATTCTAAGTACAGAATTTTTAATATAATCTAAGCTTAGGATATAAAATTTTTATTAGATTTGAAATAATTTTGATATTTGACTTTTCAAAAGCTTAGTTTTATGTAAGAAAATCAAATCTAAAATATTTCAAGATAAAGGACTGCTGAAAATGTAATTTAAAGGCCTTTGCCCATTTGTTTTATAGTCTTCTTGCTATTGAATTGCTTGAGTTCTATTTGAACGTTTTTTTTTTTATAATATGAAAACATTAGCTATAACTCTTTAATGTTCAACACTAATTGGGTAAATGACTTATTAAAATATTCATATTTCTGAACACAGTAGCTAAGGAAATTATGACAGATGTATGTTTAACATGAAAAGAAGTGAATGGTACATTACAAATTAAAGCAAAGTATAAAATGTTTATAGTAGGAACTCAATTCATAACTATATATGTCTAGAGAATCTAGAAAGATTCTCTAGATTAAATTGCATGTAGTAAAATTATCTTCTCAATGGACCTATTTCTTACATAATCATTAAATGCTCAGAATATATGCATGTAATGATCTTTGGACTTCTAATTCTGTTTTGGGGATATTTTCTAAGAAATTAGAATATTAGACAAATTAAATTAGATTAAGTTAAATTAGAATCAGACAAATATTTAAATAAGTTTTGGTCAATAAATAAAGGAGAATCAGTTGTTTATGTGAATATGATTTTGATTACACTGAAACATATACATATAGCAAGACATGGAGATAATTTATTAAAATAATGACAGCAGTTATTTAATATGGAGAATGTTGATGATAATTATTTTCTTATATATTTTGTGTTTCCAAAGTGAGTATACTTTTTCAATTGAGAAATATTAGGAAAAACAGGAAATACATTGAAGCAATCTTGGAATAGAAACTATTATGGTATATAGTAATTATATTTTTTATAATGATAGTATTTTTAAGCTATATAATAAAACAAAAATATATGTGATGGATATTCATCTTATCTTTTCTGTCTGATTTTATGATTCAGTTTAGCCTAGTTTCTTTCCTCCCTCCCTTCCTCCCTCCCTCCCTCCCTCCCTCCCTCCCTTCCTTCTTTCCTTCCTTCCTCCCTCCCTCCCTCCCTTCCTCTCTCCCTCCTTCCCGCTCGTGAGCTCTCTCCTTCCTTCTTTCTTTCTTTCTCTCTCTTTCTTTCTTTCTTTCTTTCTATAACCTAAATGTAAAAGGAGGAAAATCCTCTTTAACCTAGCTCTTCCAATGTTTATTCCAAAAGAATTTCTTGGTCAGGATCTTTTCAAAAACCTATCAGAGAGAAAGACTGGAGTTAGAGATAATAGCTGAAGAGTATCACTATAATGCATAATAGAAAAAATGCCATTGCTGTACCACACTTGTTCTCAAGTCATTGGAAAACATTTTATGTACAAGTATTAATATTTGTGCATATGAGTGCATGATTGCTAGTAGTGATGATTTTAAGATATGAGAATATTTTTCTTGATGTAAACTTGTTTTTTCTAAGTGAAAACATTTATTTAAAAAGAATTATTTTCATTTAAAATTATCTTTGTCAATTTGTTTATTCTGAAATGGTTACTATAAGTATACTTTTTTTTATAGTTGGAAGCCAACATGTGATGTTTTTCATAAACATGAAGATTATATGCAGGACCAGTTTACTGTTTATCAAGAAACCATTGAAAATGACAAGTATAATACATATATTAATTTAAGTATATCGGGGCTGGGAAGGTGCCGCTCAGTGATAGAGTGCTTGCCTTGCATGCATGAGACCCTGGGTTCGATTCCTCAGCACCACATAAGTGGAAAAAGCTGGAAGTGGTGCTGTGGCTCAAGTGGTAGAGCGCTAGCCTTGAGCTGAAGAGCTGAGGGACAGCGCCCAGGCCCCACAACCGAACCCAAAAATAAAAAAATAAAATAATGTAAGTATATCAGTTCTAATATAATTCTAATATAATTGGTAATTACTAGGACTTGCTTTGTAAGAATAGTAATTGAAAATGTAGGAAGTTTGTATTCTGAAAGAGGTTCTTTTTTTTAGCTAACCATACTAATTTGGGCTTGTGTGCCATTTACTTATTGTAAAGCTCTGTGTAATGTGAATTTGTTTAGACAGTGCCTTAGATATAAACTATTTCTCAGAACTAATGACAGCATAGTCCTTCAATTAATGGTTGCTATGAGTTATAGGCATAATTCTAGAGGAATAATTAGCTGTAGACTTAATTTTGGAAATAGTGAGACAAAGTATAATTTAATAAAGACATCATGTTAAAAATGAACTATATAACTTGTAGGGGTGGGGGTTGGCAGGAATAAAACTAGGAGTCAACTAAGGAAGAAGTGACAACTGTTGAAATATACTCATTACTTATGTAACTGTAACCCCTTTGTACATCATCTTTATAATAAATTTTTTAAATGGTGTCATTAAAAAAAGTTAAATTGAAGAAGATTAAGGAGTAAATAATTTAGAGTATATTTAAAAAGTTTGATAGGGGGCTGGGAAGGTGGCTCGGTGGTAGAGCGCTTGCCTTGCATGCTCAAGGCCCTGGGTTCAATTCCTCAGCACCACATAAGAAAAAAGCCAGAAGTGGAGTTGTGGCTCAAGTGGTAGAGTGCTAGCCTTGAGCTGAAGAGCTGAGGGACAGCACCCAGGCCGAGTTCAGGCCCCACGACCGGACCAAAAAAATAAATAAATAAAAATAAAAAGTTTGATAGGTTAAGGGAAAGTCTGAAGGGCAGACAATATTGAGGACAGTCGAGTTAAGTAGATATTCAACTTGCTTTTGGTGCTTAATTTAGTAGATCTTAGCAAGTGATACTTATTTTTTGAATTTATTTCTTTTAATTTTATTAGAAAAATGTATCATGATTATATCAGTCAGTATAAAGATGTTTTGAAGCAATACCAACTAAAGTACTCAGAAAACCATATTTCACGTGAATATTATGAGAAGAAAAGAGAACATGAAGAAATTCAAAACAGAGTGTTGGCTTGTAGTGAACAACTAAAAATACATGAAACTATTCTCATGGAATTTCTAGGTATTAACATTTTGTTATATGTTACTTTAATTATAGGATGTTATTAATGAAAAGAATAATAGCTCACTCTCAACTATGATTTTGTTTTTCAGTACCTGCTCCCTTTTCATCACTTACCAAATGGACATTATATATGTATCCACAATAGTATTTCTACTTATAATTTTTATTTGATATGTATAATTTATGTATTTTCATTGTTGTGTACTGTATTTTCTTGATGAGAGTCTCGTGGCTTTGTTTTTTGTGTTTAACTCATATTTTAAAGATTACTTAAATTTTTTATTACATTCAAATAGTAGAAACTGTAATTTTCCTATATACCTATATGATTAAAAGCAAGAAGTTTTAGGGAGAATAAAATGATACCTGTACCTGCCTTTTTTTTTTTTTTTGCCAGTTGTGGGGCCTGAACTCTGGGCCTGGGTGCTGTCCCTCAGCTCTTCAGCTCAAGAATAGCGCTCTACCACTTGAGCCCCAGCACCACTTCTGGCTTTTTCTGCTTATGTGGTGCTGAGGAATAGAACTCAGGGCCTCATGCATGCAAGGTAAGTACTCTAGCACTGACCTACTTTCTCAGTCCCCTATATCTGCCTTTAAAATGGCATGTCTTAGTTGAGCACCGGTGGCTCATGACTGTAATCCTAGCTACTCAGGAAACTGAGATCTGAGGATCGAGGTTCAAAGACAACCTGGGCAGGAAAGTCTATGAGACTCTTATCTCCAGTAAACCACTCAGAAAACTGGAAGTGGCACTGTGGCTCAAGTGGTAGAGTTCTAGCCTTGAGCTGAAAAGCTGAGGGACAGGCCCAGGTCCAAAGTTCAAGCTCCACAACTGACCAGAAAAAAAAAAGTGGCATATGTCTTAGCAACCATACCAATGAGAGAGTCATGTTGCTGTGCCTTAACAAAGAGAGCTCCCATCAAATTACTTGATTAGTAGTCTTTAGGATAGATTGTGACAATTAGTAATCGTATCTATCTTGTGCCAGGCAATACTGAAGAAGTTATGAAGCTCTTTTTTTTTTTCTTGGGTCCGGTCATGGGGCCTGAACTCTGGGCCTGGGCGCTGTCCCTCAGCTCTTCAGCTCTTCAGCTCAAGGCTAGCGCTCTACCACTTGAGCCACAGTGCCACTTCTGGCTTTTTTCTTTGCTTATGTGGTGCTGAGGAATCGAACCCAGGGCCTCTGGCATGCAAGGCATGTGCTCTACCACTGAGCCATCTTCCCAGCCCTTATGAAGCTCTTTTAAGCTTACAGTTTAGCATGGAAAACAGTCATATCAATAAATAATTCTAATTCATTACCACTTAATACTTAATTTTTCTAAATCTCACCTATTTGTAATAGATCTTCACTGATAATGAGCTTGAAATTTAGTCCTCTTCCAACCTTCACAATCCTTTATATGCTTTCCTATATCAGATTATAATTCTATTCTTGGTAGTAAATGTTCTGTCCCTCATAAATCATTCCTCTAACTCCTCTGCTATTAGATTTTTTTCTATTTTGGGGTGTTTTTTTGGACGAGGGGGTCAGCTCTTCATTGCCGTGCATCTGAGCACTTTCAATAGGAAGGGGCAGATACAACAACGATCTAGGAGTTGTATGTGAGTTAGGATGAGATAGAAAGTTGTATAACAGGCAAGAAGAGAGATGGGTACAGACAAAGAATTAGAATTTAGAATCTGAATATCTATAATTAAATTTAAGTTTGATCCAGTTTGATAATAACATAGCTTTATGTTATGTTGTTCAGGTGCACCATATTCACCTGGGGTTTTGTGTGCTAGCATGTCAATCATATTTTGAAGGCAGGATTGGGAAGGTATGATAAATTCTCACTAGAATTTTGATCACTGTTGAGTATTTTAAAATTCTCTTAAGTAGATTGTATAGTAACTTAGAAAGTTGCATTATCTAAAAATCATCTAGGATATCTATTAATAGCTAAGAAATTCTTTTTTTTTTTGGGTCCAGTCGTGGGGCCTGAACTCTGGGCCTGGGCGCTGTCCCTCAGCTCTTCAGCTCAAGGCTAGCGCTCTGCCACTTGAGCCACAGCGCCACTTCCGGCTTTTTTCTTTTTTTTTTTTTTTTGTCGGCCGTGGGGCTTGAACTCTGGGCCTGGGCGCTGTCCCTCAGCTCTTCAGCTCAAGGCAAGCCCTCTACCACTTGAGCTACAGCGCCACTTCCGGTTTTCTGGTGGTTTATTGGAGATAGGAGTCTCACGGTCTCTCCTGCCTGGGCTGGCTTTGAACCGCGATCCTCAGATCTCAGCCTCCTGAGTAGCTAGGATTACAGGCGTGAGCCACCAGAGCCTGGCTACCGGCTTTTTTCTTATGTGGTGCTGAGGAATCGAACCCAGGGCCTCGAGCATGCAAGGCAAGTGCTCTACCACTGAGCCACCTTCCCAGCCCAAGCTAAGAAATTCTTTAGTTGAAATTGAGTATAAAACAGTTTGAACACAAAGCCTAGAAGGAAGCTCTTCTGAGTTCTGCAGGGTACATTGATGACTTTGGAACAGATAATTGGAATGTAAAAAGTTAAATTTGAACTTGAATAGTTCTGGTTATGGTCAAATGGCACAGTGAACTTACATAAAAAGAACAGAAGAAGAAGAAAACTACAAGCCGGGCACTGGTGGCTCATACCTTTAGTCCTAGCTACTTAGGAGGCTGAGATCTCAGAATTATGGTTTGAAGGTAGCCAGGGTAGAAAGAGTTCCCATGAAATTCTTATTCCTAATTAACCATTCAAAAACCAGAAGTAGGGCTGTGTCTCAAAGTGGTAGAACGCTAAACTTGAGTAAAAGAGCTCAGGGACAGTGCTTAGGCCCTGAGTCAAAAAGCCCCACAACCTACACAAAAAACAAAGGAAAAGAAAAATACAGTGCTGTGAAAATATTTAAGTGAAAGGAAAAAAATCCTAGTGAGTATTTGGGATGAAATGTTATGTTTAAATTCAGTAAGCTGGGCTGGGAAGGTGGCTCAGTGGTAGAGCGCTTGCCTTGCATGCCTGAGGCCCTGGGTTCGATTCCTCAGCACCACATAAGCAAAAAGAAAAAAGCCGGAAGTGGTGATGTGGCTCAAGTGGTAGAGTGCTAGCCTTGAGCTGAAGAGCTGAGGGACAGCGCCCAGGCCCAGAGTTCAGGCCCCACGACCGGACCGCCCCCCCCCCCCCAAAAAAAAACCAAAAAAATAAAAAAATAAATTCAGTAAGCTGGCCAGGTGCTGGTAGCTCACACCTGTAATCCTAGCTACTCAGGAGGCTGAGAGTTGAGGATCGCAGTTCAAAGTCAAATCAGGCAGGTAAGTCCGTGAGTCTTATCTCCAGCTAGCCACCAGAAAAACAGGAAGTGGTGGTGTGGTTCAAGAGGTAGAGTGCTAGCCTAGAACTGAAGACCTCAGGGACAGTACCCAGACCCAGAGTTCAAGCCCCAGGACCAAAACAAAACACAATTCAATAAGCTGGTGGCTCATACCTATAATCCTAGCTATTCAGGAAGCTGAGATCTGAAGATTATAGTTTGAAGCCAGTCCAGGCAAAAGTCTGTGAGACTTAGCTCCAATAAACTACTCACAAAAAGCCAGAAGTCGCACTGTGACTCAAGTGGTAGAGCACTAACCTTGAACCAAAGAAGCTGAAGGATAGCATCCAGGCTGAGTTCAAGCCTCAGGACTAGCCAAAAGAAAAAAAATAATAAACAAAAAAATTAATTCAATAAAATATGTAAACAACATAGCTTATTTCCATCTTGTTTTCAGACATTCTTACTATTTATTGCTTATATTAAATGTACATATCAGTAATATGTACTGTTTATATAAATAATATGTGCTAGTTATTTTATAAATGTAAAATTAACTTGAATGATATAGTTCCTTAACAAGAACAGAGTTAATTTGAGACATGAAACACAAAATATTCTTAAAAGTTTCAACAATATTACCAAAAATTCATCTGAATTGAAGAAAGAAATAGATGAAATGGAAATGGAAATTAATTCTTTAAACAAGGTATGTATTTTGTTACATATTTCTAATGCATGGACTAGTGTTTATGTTAAAATATTTTTAAAATCCTGTTGTAAGGAATTACAAATATAGAGAAAGGTCAGTGCATTTGTCTCAAATTACTTTTGAAGCAAAATATATTTTGGGTATTGAAATATATATATTATGAAAATATATTTTGTTTTGATCCTTTTTACAACTTGCTTACACTTTACAACTTGAACCACAGGTTACTTCTGGCTTTTTGTAATTTGTTGGAGATAAGAGTCTCAAGGACTCTCCTGCCCAGTCTATGCTTCATATCCTCATATATTAGCTTCCTGAGTATCTAGGATTATAGGCATGAGCCACCAGCACCTAGCAGGTATTAAATATACTCTAACTCCGAGTTTTAAGGAATAGTTCGGCTTTCTTTAGGGTCTGAGGAAGATGAGGAAAAACAACAAAATGTAGATTAGTTACAGGAACTTATTTTGTGGTGTTTGTGTGTGTATGTACGCACGCGTGCATGAGTCAGACCTAGGGCCCTCTTGCATGTTAGGAAAGTTCTCTACTTCTGAGAATAGTTCCAGACCTACAATACCAATTTAAAGGCATTGAAAAGGCAACTGTGGCTGGGTGCCAGTGTTCACGCCTGTCATCCTAGCTACTCAGGAGGCTGAGATCTGAGGTTGCAGTTCAAAGCCAGCCAGGGCAGGAAAGTCCATGAGACTCTTATCTCCAATTAATCACCAGGAAACTGGAAGTGGCGCTGTGGCTCAAGTGATGAGTGCAGGCATTGAGTGAAGAGCTCAGGGACAGCACCCAGGCCCAGAGTTCAAGCCCTGTGACTGACTGATTAAAAAAAAGGGCAACTATGCTTTCTTTTTTTTCTTTTCTTTTTTTCTTTTTTCTTTGCTGGTCTGGGCCTGAACTCTGGGCCTGGGCACTGTCCCTCAGCTCTTCAGCTCAAGGCTAGTGCTCTACCACTTGAGCCATAGCGCCACTTCCGGCTTTTTTTCTTTTTGCTTATGTGGTGCTTAGGAATCCAACCCAGGGCCTCACGCATGCAAGGCAAGTGCTCTACCACTGAGCCACCTTCCCAGCCTCTATTTTTATTATCTTTTAGTCAGTATACAGAGGGGTTGCACTTCAAAAAAGGGAACAAGAGCTGGGTGCTGGTGGCTCATGCCCATAATTGTACCTACTCAGAAGGTTGATATTTGAGTACTTTGGTTCACAATCAGTCTGGGTGGAAAAATCTGTGAGATTCTTTAACCACTTTAAAGCCAGAAGGAGGTCTGGTTCAAGTGGTGAGAGTTATGAGCCTTAAGTAGAATAAACCAAGCAAGAGTTCAAGGCCTTGAGTTCAATCCCCAGAACCAGTACAAATAATAAGGGGATGAGGGAAGAATTGTAAGTAGTTTTAAATTTTTAATCTTAAAAATATAATTCTGCAATTATAATGTTTAAAGAGCTAGGATAGGAATAGTTTAACCTATTTTTTGTAATAATTATTGGTGTCATTTATTTAGTTGTGGCTTTAATTAGCATAGGTTCAAGAACCCATCAAAGCTATGTCTCAATTTTGAGGAAAATTTGAATATAGTACCTAATTTTTATTTTTTTTGAAAATTATGTTAAAGTTAATATATATTAGCCAGGCTTGGTGATTCATACCTGTGTCCTAGTTACTTGGGAGGCTAAGATCAGCATTGCAGTTCAATGCCAGCGCTAGTAAAAAGTTCATGAGATTCCTGCCTGGACATGGTGATGCATACTTGTTATCTAAGCTAATGAGGAAGCATACGCAGGAAGATCACAGTAGAAGCTGGCCTGGGAGAGAAATGAGACCCTATTTGAAAAGTAGGAAATGCGAAAGAACTGGAGGTATGGCTCTTTGCCTGGCAAGTACAAGACCCTGAGTTCAAACCCTAGTTTTGTGTCTCCCCAAAAGATTATATGTTATTAATAGATAACAGTAACAGTAACATAACTTTATTTCATTTTATTTTTGCCATATTGGGGAAGCACTTGTGTTTGAGCTTTCTAGAAAGTGCTTTATCTGTTGAGCAACAATCTTAGCTGTTTTGTTGATATATTCACTTTCTGAGACAGTGTCTCATAACTTGCCCCTGCTCACCCTGAACTTGTGATCTTCCTATCTCTACCCCTTAAGTAGCTGGAATTATATATATTTACCACCATATCCAGCATAACATAATTTTAGTAAAGAGATTAAAATAGATTTTATTTCTCTTAAAATATGTAGTGACTGGGCTGGGAAGTTGGCTCAGTGGTAGAGCGCTTGCCTTGCATGCCTGAGGCCCTGGGTTCGATTCCTCAGCACCACATAAGCAAAAAGAAAAAAGCTAGAAGTGGTGCTGTGGCTCAAGTGGTAGAGCGCTAGCCTTGAGCTGAAGAGCTGAGGGACAGCGCCCAGGCCAAGAGTTCAGGCCCCATGACCGGACCCCCCCCCAAAAAAAAATATGTAGTGACTATGTCCATATGTAAAGAGTCAGTGTCTACTTCGCTCATAACAACTTTTTGTTATATTTTTAGCAGCAGCAATGACCTGGCATATGTTAGGCAGATTTTCTACCACTTGAGTCATGCCCCCAGCCTTTTGTGCTTTTGATGTTTATTGCACAGGGTTTTGAGTTAATTACCTGGATTATGATGCTCCTATTTACATTTTCTGCCCCTCTGAACAACAGCTACTGGTTGAGATGGGGTCTTGTAAGTGTTTTTGCCTGGGCTGGTCTCAAACTGTGATACTCCTATGATCTGTCTCCTAAACATCCTCTCTTCTCCTCTTCCTCCAGAACCTTCTCTTTCTCTTCCTCATGTCCTTCCTCTGCCTACTCCTCATTTTTTTTTGTTAGTACTAGTCTTAAGGGTTTGAACTCAGGGTCTGGGCACTGTCCCTGAGTTTTTGTGCTCAAGGCTAGAGCTCTACCAGTTGAGCCACAGGATCCACTTCTGGCTTTTGCTGTTAGTTGGAAATAAGAATCTTATGGATTTTTCCTGATTATGTTGCCTTCAAACCACAGTCTTCAAATCTCAGCCTACTGAATGACCATGATTATAGGCATGAGCCACTGGTGCCCAGCTTCCTGCTCTTTTAAGTATAGAAGTTCCTTGAAATCTACCATGTGCTAATTTAGTGTTGAGAAAAATATAAAGAGGGCCTGGCATTGGTGGCTCACGCCTGTAATCCTAGCTAAACAAGAGGCTGAGATCTGATGATCATGGTTTGAAGCCAGCCCAGGCAGAAAAAGTCCATGAGACTCTTATTTCCAATAAACAACTCAGAAAAAGCTGGAAGCTCTGGCTGTGGCTTAAGTGATAGAATGCTAGACTTGGGAAAAAGAATCTCAAGGATAGCACACAAGCCCTGAGTTCAAGACCCAGGACTGGCACAAAAAATTTAAAAATACATATGTAAAGAGGTATTGTTTAATATTTATTTTTACTCTTAATAACTTTCAGTAAAAGCGAATACTACAAAAATGCAAATCTGATTTCACAGGAAAAAATTATATCCACTAGTTAAGAAAAACATATATCCCTATTGCTTTGTAGGTAATTACTTTGTTTTGCTTTCCCACTTTTCTTTTTAGCAAATTGCACGACTTTATGAAACTAAGAATCTTTCAGAAACTTTGGAAGAAAATAACAAAAATATAGAAAAGAGAAAAGAATTGAAAGAAAGGTATGGATCTTATGTAAACAGATAATTCTGCATCTAAAAGTATCTTTCTGTTAAGTCTGTTCAAATATAATTTTGTGCAGGATATTTTTCTATTATTTTCTTATAAAATTAATTTAATTTTGAGTAATTTAGTTATGCACAGATATTATTAGAATATTCTTATTAGTAATAAGAAGGATATTATATTGAGAGAAATTGGGCTGAAGCAGCAGCACTTGTGTATTCTATAATCTCTCAACTATATAGTTTATCCAGTTCTCTGTGACAAATCATCAGTAGTAGTAAACATGAAACAATGCTAGGAACAGTAATGTATTCACTTATTTATCATCCTGTCACCTGCTTGACATACAAAGAGTAAAGATGAACTTCCAGTACACTTCTGTGTATTTGGGCATCATGTTTTTTCTTGTCCTTTGTTGTAATGGTAAGACTGTAAACATCATTGATGAAGGCTTTAAGAAGACATTTTTTTTTTACCTGTTATTGTACAACAGAAAGAGAGACATATTACTATTGTTGTTTCTAATAAACATTCCATTTTTTTCTGCCCATATCCTTTTAGTTGTTGTTTGTAAATTCCTTTCCACTGCCTTTATCCTGATTTTTCAACACATTTCCCTTTTGAGTTAATTTCCCTGATCTCTTGTTTGGATTTGTTCTTTTCTTGGTCCCCAAGCTCCACATATCACACCATGGCAGGGTGGTTTTAATTTATAATGAAATTGGTTGGAAAAATAAGCAAATGTACAAAATTTTATTTACTCACATTTTAATATTATATAAACCCTGTATTGAAAAGAACTGATCTAAACACCTGGTCATTTTTTTCTTAATAGATAATAGTTTCCCTTTATCCATAGTTTTGTTTTCTATTTCACCTACTTGTGGAAAACTGTGGTCCAAAAATATTAAATGGGAAATTTCAGAAATAAATTTCACATGAGTAGTATGATAAAATTCAATGCATCTTTATTCTACTGGGGATATGAGTCTTCTCTTTGTGCAGTATATCTATGTTGTATATACCACTTACCTTTTAATCGCTTTATATTAAGTTGGCCATTGTGGTATCATTGTGCTACATTCAAATGACCCTTATATTTCAAAATGGCCCTAAGTAGAAAAATAGTGATGCTTATAATTTAGATTCTTCCATTAGAAAGCTATAAAGTACTTTTCTTTAATTAAATAGGTCAGAGTTTTCAATTAAGAAAACAGTCATATTCTTAGGTTGCTAAAATATTTTAATAAGAATGAATCTTCTGTCTGCCCAGTTGTGAAGAAGGAAAAAGAAATTTCATGGCCAGGCTCCAGTGGCTCACACCTGTAATCCTAGCTACTGGCTGAGTGAAGCCAGTCCAGGCAGAAAAAACTATGAGACTCTTCATCTTCAGTTAACCACCAGGAAACTGGAAGTGGCACTGTAGCTCTTAAGTGGTAGAGTGCTACCCTTCAGCAAAAATGCTCAGGGACAGTGCCCAGGCCCTGAGTTCAAGCCCATGACCAAAAAAAAAGAAATTCATGCTAGTTTTTCTATTATACTTCACATTGCAAAAGTTGTAGCACAATGTGTACTGAGTACTTAGCTAAGAAGGAAGAGACATTAAATTTGTGTATTATATATAAGAATATATATGAAAAACATGTAACTGGGAGAGAGTGAGGGAAAGGGTGATGCTGTCCAAAAAGACATGGCCTCATTACCTGACTTATGTAACTATAATCCTTCTGTACAATACCTTTATACTAGCAATTACAAATTTTAAATAAAAATAAACAGATATAGAGAGGGAGGAAGAGAGAAAGAGAGAAGGAATGAGAAGTGGGAAGAGAAGGAGATGACAAAGGGAGATACAGCTGTGGTTACAGCTATCCACTAGGGATCTTGAACTGTATCCCCTGCTGATAGAGAGGTGTGATGTATTTTAACAGTGTTTATTCTAGTTCTCTGATTTAAGAAAACTCAAAACTATTCTTCTAGCAACCCCCCCAAACATTTATGATTGTAATACTCATTTAAAGATTTATATATTCATGTTAGCTAATTTGCTTCTAGTTTTTTTTTAATTTGAAGTAATCTGAAATATAAGATGATATTTATGATTAATGTTTTCATTTAACAGGTTTCTGATCTGTTTAAAACATCTTTTAAAACTGGGTATATTAGGCTGGGAAGTTGGCTCAGTGGTAGAGCACTTGCCTTGCATGCCTGAGGCCCTGGGTTCGATTCCTCAGCACCACATAAGCAAAAAAGAAAAAACCCAGAAGTGGGGCTGTGACTCAAGTGGTAGAGCGCTAGCCTTGAGCTAAAGAGCTGAAGGACAGCACCTAGGCCCAGAGTTCAGGCCCCACGACCGGACCCAAAAAGAAAAACAAAAAAAAACTGGGTATATTCTAAAAATAAAAAGTTATACTGAGCACTGGACTTAATTAGGTAAAGTGTATTTAGCATTGGCACTATTACCAAGTAATTAAATAATATTGAGCAAGTCTGTTAAATTTTTTGGAACTCAGTTCATTATCTGCAAATATAAAGAGTTTTTAACTATATAAAACCTAAATATTCCTTCTAGATTTTTTTTTGTCAGTCTTTGGTCCTGAACTCTTGGCCTGGGCACTGTCCCTCAGCTCTTCAGCTCAAGGCTAGTGCTGTACCACTTGAGCCACAGCACCACTTCCTTTTCTGTTTATGGGTGCTGAGGAAACGAACTCAGGGCCTCATGCATGCTAGGCAAGCATTCTCCCTTGGGCCAGCTTCCCAGCCCTTCCTTCTAGATTTAAAATATATTAATATTTACTTGGCTAATATCGAATACAATCCACTTTTCTCTTTAGAGTTTTTGAAAAAGATGAACATGTGCTTGTATTGAACAACCCTCCACAAAGCAGTCAATTATTTCTTCCCTATGAAGCTCAGAAATTACTAAGACCAATAAAGATACATTCTTCAAGACCAAGAGTTACAGGTACAGAATTGTTTCTTATTTAAAAACTTTATTTTCCTTTGCAAACACTGAAGAAATCAAAATGACTTTTAGTTATCATTTGGTATAAGCAAGAAAACAGTTCTGGGATCTGTAGACTCAGGAAAGTACTATTGTGAATAGTTCTGAGAGCAAATAAGATCTGAACTTCACATCTGTCTTTTCTTTTAGAAAGAAATTATTTTCAGATACATTAAAATGAGTCAACAATTGTATATGAAAATTAAGGGAAGGAGTGGGTTGAAGTGGGAGGAAGGGGGTGAGAATATTGAAGGGGATGATGTTGATCAAGATGAACATTGTATTAATGGGCTTAGTGTAGAGTGTTTCCCTAGCATGCATGAAGTTCTGGGTTCAATTTTTTAATAGCACATACACAGAAAAAGCCAATAGTGTCTCTGTGGCTCAAGTGGTAGAGAGCTAGCCTTGAGCGAAAGAAGCTCAGGGACAGGTCCCAGGCCCTGAGTTTATGCCCCAGGAAAAAAAATGCATTGTATTCATAAACTGCTCTGTTAAATGGCGTCTTCTTTGTGCAATGACTTAAGACAATGAAGAAATTTTGAAAGTGTTCTGGTTTGATAGCAGTCAGAGGAGGATAAATAAATATACACATTTTAGTTGAGATATTGTATATTATCAGTATGTGTGATTTAAGTGGGAGTTAATACTATTAACTTGTGTTAATAGTATTTGTAACTTGGCCACCAAAATATGAGAATCATCTTTCATTCCAGTTGGTCTCCAGATTAGATTAACTACATTGTGTTAGACTGACTACATTAGCTGTTTTATTTGTTCCATATCATTAGTATCACTACTCTTATCTTCTTTGGTTATTCATTAAAATGATGTAGTTTTTTTCATTTAGTCTTTTCACACTAATAGTTGTAATAACTAATATACATTTAATGAATTAAGAGTTTTAAATAAGGGGCTGGGAAGGTGGCTCAGTGGTAGAGCGCATGCCTTGCATGCCAGAGGCCCTGGGTTCAATTCCTCAGCACCACATAAGCAAAAAGAAAAAAGCCGGAGGTGGTGCTGTGGCTCAGTGATAGAGCACTAGCCTTGAGCTGAAGAGCTGAGGGACAGCATCCAGGCCCAGAGTTCAGGCCCCATGACCGGACCCAAAAAAAAAAAAAGAGTTTTAAATAATTTTAATTCTGAATCTTAGATACCTATTTAGACCTGAGTTTCTTTTTTTAAACATTTTTTATTATAATATCTTGAAGTAGTTGTACAAAGAAGTTCCCATTCTACAAAACAGTATATGAATACAAAGTGTCTGACAACATTGTCACCCATCGCTCCTAACCCATCCCTTTTCTCACTTTTCTTTTAAAATTGAGATTAGATTACATAAATTTCACATATTTCACAGTATAGAGGAATAGCGATACTTAAAGACACAAATACATTTTAACCTTCAAAAGGCAAATAGTCATTATCATAGTCTATAAAGTTTGTGAATTCTATGAGCTTTGACAATACAAATGATTTCTTCCACATCGGGTGATATTTAGATTTCTTTCCTTTTGCTTAGTGTAGGCTGTTCCCTCTTTCCCTCTCATTCCTCCCTTCCCATCTCTGTCTTTGGGTTGCTTAGTTCTTTTTCTTCTATGTCCAGTGCAGCTGATGGTTCCCTTTGTTGTATGTTGTTCCGTTTCCCACTTATTCTATGTCTTCCTCCTGGCTTCCCTCCTTTGCGTGCATATATCTACCATATATATGGTCAAGAACATGGAGTCATTTAGTAATGATATGACAAAATGAGTGGCTGCCCTTTGTTTCTTGAGTCTTGTTTACTTTGCCATATCTTCTTGGATTTTGGCTGTAGTGTCCATGTATCAGGGAGACGTTGTGCCATTTGTCTCTTTGTTCTTGGCTTACCTCACTCAAAATAGTTTGCTCTAGTTCCATCCATTTCCCTGCAAATGCCATTATGTTGTCCTTTCTAATGGCTGCATAATATTCTATTGTATATAGGTACCTCAGTTTTTGAATCCACTTATCAGTAGTGGGGCATTTGGGTTGTTCCAAGATCTTGGCTATTGTGAACAGTGTTGCAATAAACATGGAGGTGCATGTGCCTTTGTGTACTGGTTCCTGTTGTTCAGGGTAGATGCCTTGGAGTGGTATGACTGGGTCATAAGGGAGGTCAATAGTTAGTTTTCTGAGGTACCTCCAGATTGCTTTCCAAAGTGGTTGTATTAGAATACATTCCCACCAGCAATGCAGTAGAGTCATCTTTCTCTGCATCCCCTCCAGAATTTGTCATTGGTTGAATGTAGGATGTGGGCCATTCTGACTGGGGTAAGGTGGTATCTCAGGGTTGTTTTTATTTGCATTTCTTTTACAGCCAGGGATGATGAACATTTCCTCATGTGTTTCTTTGCCATTTTTATCTCTTCTTCTGGGAAGTCTCTCTTTAGCTCCCTTGCCCATTTCATAATTGGTTTGTTAGATTTGTGAGGGGTTAGTTTCTTGAGTTCCCTGTATGTAATGGATATTAGACACTTGTCTGATATATTGCTGGTAAATATTTTTTCCCAAATAGTTGGTTTTCTTTCTAGTTTGGTTACTATTTCTTTATCTGTGCAGAAACTTTTTATTTTAAGGTAATCCCATCTATCAAGTCTCTCTCCAATTTGTTGTGACCCTGGGACTCCATTCAGGAAGTTCCTGCCTGTACCTATAAGTTTAAGTGTCTTTCCTACTCTGTCCTGCAGTAGTTTCAGAATATCAGGTTTGATGTTAAGGTCTTTCATCCATTTTGAGTTGATGTTAGTACATGGTGACAGGCTAGGGTCAACTTTTAGATTTCTTGGCCACCCAGTTTTCCCAGCACCAGTAGTTGAAGAGGTTATGATTCTTCCACTGTATGTCTTTGGCTCCTTTGTCAAATATCAACTGTCACATACGGGGCTTTATTTCTGGGTCCTCTAATCTGTTCCATTGGTCTTGAGGTCTCTTTTTGTGCCAGTACCAAGCTGCCTTTGTTATTATGGCTCTATAGTAGAGTTTGAAATTCAGTATTGTGATCCTTCCTGCATTCTTTCTTTTGCCTAGAATTGCTTTGGCTATTCTAGGTCTTGTTGTTCCATATGCATTTTTGGACTGTTTTCTCTATTTCAGTAAAGTACATCATTGGGATTTTAATGGGAATTACATTGAATGTTTATATCAATTTTGGCAGTATGGTTATTTTTACTATATTCTGTCTATCCAGGAACATGGGAGGTCTTTCCATTTCTTGGTATTTTCTATGATTCCTTTTTTTAAGGGTTTTATAGTTTTCATGAAGTAGACCCTTTACATCTTTGGTTAGGTTAATTCCTAGATACTTTTTTTTTGAGATTATTGTGAATGGGGTTTTTTCCTTGATTTCCCTTTCTGCTTGTACATTGTTGCTGTACAGAAAGGCGACTGATTTTTGTGGGTTAATTTTATATCCTGCTACTTCGTTGAAGTGGTTTATAAGCTCTAAGAGTTTGGGGATGGACCTTTTGGGATCGTTAAGATATAAAATCATGTCATCTGCAAAAAAGAGATAGTTTAACTTCTTCCTCCCCTATGCGGATCCCTTTAATGTCTTTTTCTTGCCTATTGCTCTGGCTAAGGATTCCAGAACTTTATAAAAGAGGAGTGGAGGAAGTGGGCATCCTTGCCTTGTTCCTGTTTTTAGGGGAATTGGTTGTAGTTTTAGACCTGATTTTCTAAGGTACAAATTTAGATTAAATGTTAGAGATAAAGGCTGGGGTATAGGCTCAGTGGAAGAATGCGAGCTTAGCATCTTATTCTCACCACTAAAAATGAAGAAAGAAAAAGGGAGGGAGGGAGGGAAAAACTGGAGGAAAAGATGGAAGGGTGGTTGGAGATCATGTTTGATTCTGTCTTCCAGAATTAGATGAAGAAGAAAATGCCATCAAACAGTCAAAGATTGCCAGTGCTGACTTCAGACAAAAAGAAAATGATATCCAGGTAGGTTTTATTTTTTAACAGCACAGATGTTTGCTTTCATTATATGAAATAATGAACATTCTGCATTTGGAATACAGAGGTTGAATGTCTGTTAATTAAATCTTTCATTAGTATAACCTCAGGGTCTAAAATTTTAAATTTTCTTTTTGGTTGGTTGTGGGGCTTGAACTCTGGGCCTTGACGCTATCCCTCAGCTCTTCAGATCAAGGCGAGCACTCTACCATTTGAACCACAGTATCACTTCCGGTTTTTTTATAGTTTATTTGAGATAAAAGTCTCACAGTTTTCCTGCCCAGGCTGGCTTTGAATCACAATTCTCTGATTTCAGCCTCCTGAGTAGCTAGGATTACAGGCATGAGCCACCAATGCTCAGCTTAAAATATTAACGTCAGTATTCTAAACATATACTGTAACAAGTCCATTAAAGTAAGAAAAAACGATACTTTAAAATACCAAACCCTGACATGATAACCTATACACAACTCTAGCTATTCACACACAAACAGTCAGACTAGAGGATACCAGTAGGTGCGGAACCCAAAGGCAAAACGCCCCTAAACTTTTAAAATACTACTTATTGAAAGGAATTCCAGGAAACGGAAACATGGGTTGTTTATATTAGTGGTGGTGTTTGTGTGTGCTTCTTTTTTCTTTGTTTCCCCTTCTGCTTTTTTTTTTTGTGGGGGGGAGGGTGGGAAATGTGGGATACAGAAAAGGAGGGAGGAAAGATGACAAATGCAATCATGATATTCAGTATACACTAGGTGGAATATTGGAAAATGAGCTATTCACCTTGTGAGCAGGGACAGGAGGGCAAAACTGGGGGAAACTGAAGGAAGGGTGAAATTGTTCAAAAGAGAAATGTATGTATTACCTGAATTGTGAAATGGTAATCCTTCTGTATAATACCTTAATAAAAACAATAAAATAATAAAAAAAATTGCCAAGTCCTGTGCCTAGTAGGCCAGAAACTTAGAAAAATCTCTGAAATAATGGCCGGGAGCTGGTGGCTCACACCTGTAATCAGGAGGCTGAGATCTGAGGATCGCAGTTCAAAGCCAGCCCGGGAACTATGAGACTCTTATCTCTAATAAACCACTCAGAAAACCAGAAGTGATGCTGTGGCTCAAGAGGTGTAGCGCTCACCCTGAGCTGAAGAGCTGAGGGACAGCGCTCAGGCCCAGAGTCCAAGCCCCAGACTGACAAAAAAAAAAATCTCTGAAATAAGAAAGAAGGATTGATTTGAAGAAGGATATTATCTCCTGGTATATGCATTTTTCACAACGGAGAGATCCAGGAACAATGATTAGGGTAATTGGTTAGGTTACTTCAGTAGACTAGTTAATCATTGTTTCTTCCATATCCATTCTGCTTTTAGTCTGGTATGAGCAGTGGGATGACTTTCTTCAGGTGGAAGCAATGAGTTTAAGTGAGAAAGACAAGTTGGTTACTTCTTGATACTTGTGAACTACAAGGAATTTACCACCAGAAAGCTAATTACTGATTTTGCACATCATTGTTTCCCTTTGTTCTCCCTGAAAACAGTTCAGAGGGAAATTTTTGATGAAAAATATAATTGTCATTCCATCAGTTCACAGTTAATAATATAACTAAGTGGTAAAGATAACTAAGATAATTAATGAAATTTATGTCTAAGTAAATATTAAATATAAAATCTAAAATTCTGGTACTAAAAGTCCTGATTATGTCAGTTTGAAGTGAGGAAAGAAGATAAAAGAAGAAAACAATTTATTTAAACTATTTTTGTGGTGTGTTGGATGGAGCTGGGAATGGAGACAGGGAGAATGCTTGAATAATGATTAATTTTATATGTTGGTGGAAAAATGCAAAGATTTGAACATGTATTAAATATTTAAGGGTAACCATCAAAAGAGAAAAGGAAGGCATAAAATTTTAAGACAGTAAAAAAATAAAGCAAGTTAGTCAATAAGAGATAGACGATTGGGGGAGGGAGAACAGAGACGCTATAAAGCATTTAAATAGAAAACAAGGCTAGATATATTTCTGAACCATAAATATGTGATTCAGTTAGTACCATCTTTAAAATATCCTTATCTTTTTCACTTAAGGCTGGCACTCTACCTCTCTAGCTAAGTAGCTAGGATTACAGGTGTGAGCCACTGGTGCCCAGCTACATATATTTTTATATTTAAAAAATTATTTTTGTTGGTTGTAGAGCTTGAACTAGGAGATGGGTACTATCTCTGAGCTCTTTTGCTCAAGGCTAGTGCTCTACTACCTTGAGCCACCGCACTACTTCCAGTTTTCTGGTGATTAATTAGAGATAAATGTTTCATGGACTTTCTTGCCCTTTCTTGTTTTTAACCATGATCCTCAGATCTCAGTCTCCTGAGAAGCTAGGATTACAGGTGTGAGCCATCAGCACCCAGCTATTTCTTAAATATTAGTAAAGCACAGTATGGTTCTGGAAAAGACAAATTGATCAATTGGCAATGTCAAAACAAAAAGCCTGTACAACAAAAGACACTAGAGTAGTTAAAATATGACAGTATGAGCCAGGTGCCGGTGGCTCATGCCTGTAATTCTAGCTACTCAGGAGGCTGAGATCTGAGGATAGCTGTTCAAAGCCAGCCAGGGCAAGAAAAGTCCATGAGACCCTTATCTTCAATAAACCACTCAGAAAACCAGAAGTGGCACTGTGGCTCCAGTGGTTGAGCTCCAGCCTAGAGCTGAAGAGCTGAGGGACAGTGCCCAGGCCCAGAGTTCAAGCTCCGTGACCCAAAAAACAAAAAAAAAACCATATAGTGATTCTTAAAATTTATGGAGACAATAAAAGTGAAGCTAGAAACTTTTAAACAATTTATGTTATCATTTCATTGATCAGAACATAGTCAGAAGACTATCTCTGTCTTCAGATGTTGAGAAATACAGAGTTTATAAGAAGGCAAATAACAGAAAAGAAATGGGGTCTCTGAAATAAAAAGATTCTTTCTTTCTTTTCTTTAAAAAAATTTTTTTATTGTGAAAATACTGTACAGAGGGGTTACAGTTACATGGGCAAGGTAATGAGTACATTTCTTATCAAGCTTTGTTGCCTCCTCCTTTGTTTCCCCTTCTATCCCTTCCCATCTCCCACCCCCTAACACCTCTAACCCCCTACCGCCCTATAAAAAGATTCTTGACTACAGGAGTATATCTACTTTCATTTATAAGATAACCAACATTCAAAAATCTCAGTACAACTTTGTGAGATTAAGATTTGTGGGTGTGTGTGTAATTTGTTACAACTATTTTGTAGGACTGATTCACCATATTTATTAGTAATAAAATACATATAACAAGCAAGCTTACTACTTGGTTCTAAACTTTGTCAGGGAGTCAGATACAAAAATGTATTGCTTAAAACATACATCAAACCAATAACTGAAATTGTTCTTTAAAGGAGACTGACACATTATAAAAGCACAATAAAATGATAGATTACATTACTCTGTTTAACAAAAATAATAAAGATGAACTTTACTTTTAAAACAAAGATCCTTACATTTTGAGTCTATTAACAAAAAAAATTGGGGATTGTTCAAAATGAGTCACTCAGGAAAAATGAAAGGCTTGAAACAATAAAGTGATGTTTTAAACAATATTAAAGTAAAATTAAAAATGAAATCTTAGTTCTTTCATATATACATATAAAAGAAAGTTCAGGCTTTGTTTTCCTTTCCTGTATTCAGATTGAGAGATTATAAAGGAAGGAAGACTATAGAAATCAGACTGGACCAGATGAAATTACATCTTTTCCAATTTTCTGGGAGGTAGAGATAAAGATTGTAGTTTGAGGCTAACCTCAGCAAAAAGTTAGCAAGACGCCATCTCAGCCACAGATGAAGTGATTAATTGTGTTCACACCCGTCATCCCAGCTATGTGGGAGGTATAAGTAGGAAGACTTAGGTTTCCATTCACCTAGGCAAAAACCATGATATTCTATTTGAAAAATGAAATCAAGTAATCATTTGAGAAAACATCTACTTGATTAGTCATGAATATGGACAGGATAAAAATTTTAAAGCATTACCTTAAATGTAGAAATTTTGCCCCAAATGGTTATCATATTTTTTAAAAAGATCAAATTCTAGCCTGGTACCGGTGACCCACACCAGTAATCCTAGCTACTTAAGAGGCTGAGATCCGAGATCACAGTTCAAAGCCAGCCTGGGCAGTAAAGTCTTGAGACTATCTCCAGTTAATCACCAGAAAATTCAAGTAGCACTGTGGCTCAAAGTGGTAGAGCACTAGCCTTGAGCAAAAGACCTCTGGGATAGTGCCCCACAACTGACAAAAAAGAAAACAAAACCCATCACATTCTGAGTCTTTTTCTGTTGCTCTTGTTAGTGTTGGGCTTGGACATCGGGACCATGTGCTTATTAGGCAGGCACTCTACCTCTTAAGTCACATCCTTTTGCTTTCAGTTATTTTAAATTATTGTTATTTTTTTTTGTATGTGTGTATGTGTGCTGGTCTTGGAGTTTGAACTTTGGACCTTGGGCACTGTCCCAAGGTCAAGGCTAGCAATCTGCTACTTGAGCCACCGCTCTACTTCTGGCCTTTTGGTGATTACTTGGAAATAAGAATTTCACGGATTTTCCTACCTAGACTTGCTATGAACCAAGATCCTCAGATCTCATCCTCCCAAGTAGTTAGGATTACAGGTATGAGCTACCTGCATCCAGCTGTTTTTATTATTATTATAAGATAGTCTTCCATTTTGGCCTGGGGCCAGGCTGTAGCTTGAAGCTCTTACCTGTGCCTTTCATGCAGGTAAAACTACCGGCATCTGCCACCACATCCAGTCTGTTGGCTGAGTTGGGTATCTTGCTAACTTTTTTGGCAGGACTGACCTCTTAGAACAATCTTTTCAATCTCTACCTTCCAAGTAGGTGTAATTACAGATGTATACCACTATTCCTGGCTAGCCTGAGAGTCTCTTTTTGTTTCTCCGTATTTACTTTGTTTTGAGTGTAGTAGTTTTAGTAAATATTTGTAGTTGTTGATGTTGATAATGATTGATGATGATAGGGGAGTGAAATGTTAATCTGAGACAGCTCTGAGCAGTTTATGGCATATGCTTATTGTTTTATATAGCCAATTATAATGCTTAATTTCTTGCAGGTATTTAATGACTCTGCTATGAGTGATATTACAGCTATTAAAAGTTCACAAAATTCTTTGCAATTCAGGTAACTTTTTAAAATAAAATTCTTGGGGACTAGGGATGTATCTCAGTGGTAGATCAACACAGAAAGAGAAGGAAGGAAGGAAGGAAGGGAGGGAGGGGGGAGGGAAAGGAAAGGAAAGGAAGGAGGGAAGGGGGAAAGAGGGAGGAAAGGGAGGAGAAAGGCAAAGGGGAATAGCAAGGGAAAAGGTAGGAAGGAAGCAGAAGAAGAAGGAAAAGGAAAGAAAGGGAGGGAGAGGAAGGAAAGGAAGGGGAGGGGAGGGAAGGAATGGCTAATAAATACCAACTAAGGAAATAATATAAAGTTATGCTTATTGTATTTTAGATTAAATTTACAGAAAAAAGCAAGCTGTAATCAGTGGTTTGAAAAAGAAAATACAGGCATTTCAGGTATTTGCTTTTTATATTTTTCCTAAGTAAAAGTAACTATATATATGTATACATATTATTCAAATAAATTATTTGGATATTTTTATCTTTGGTGATTGCCCACACAGGCCAAGCATTAAAGTACATGTTCTTCTAAATGCATTTCCTTGTAGGAAGTTTGGAAAACAAAAATCTAAAAGAAACAAAAATACCATCACATAGACATAGCTGATGCCCATACTTACTTGTGCATATTTTTAGTCTATACATATTTTTTCATCCTAAATTTGAATCATGTCTCATATAATTTTACATCCTTTGTGTCCCTACTTGATACACTATTGAGCTTGTTTCTCTAGGTCATTGGTTTTATTTGGAATAACTGTATAATGGTCTGTTGTGTGAATACACCATAATTTATTTAGCCATTTTCTCACATTAAATATTTGGTTGTTTCTAGAATTTTTTGCTATTATAAATAATACTATATTCTTTTGCACTAATGTTTTACCATCTTGGGCCATTTTCTCTGGATAAAATCATAGAGGGCTCATAGAATATATGTGTGCATTTGTTATCCTCAAATCAGCTAGCTATTGGGATTTTGACACATCTTTGAAAATACTTTTTTCTCTCTTCTTATGTATCTCATATGTACACCTATATGGCATATGTCTATATGTATATAAATACCTGTAAGAATATGTATATTATACATATTTGGAAATGCATTAATACATAAAATTATCCCACACATTATGCTATGTAAATATCTTCAGATCTCATTTGATTATGGACTCTTATTTTGGAAATACCTCATTCTGAAAGCATGAAAATATTGTAGATATATGTATGCATTTTCAGAATGGTCAGTTTTTTTGTTTCTGGTACTAGAACTTGAACTTAAGGCCTCCAACTCTTACTTGGCTTTTTTGCTCAAGTTTAGCACTTTACCACTTGAGCCATACCTCCACTTCTGGCTATTTTGGGGGGCAGATTGGAGGTAAATGTCATAGATGTTTTTGCCTGGACTGACTTCAAACCATGAACATCAGATCCTGCCTAACTAGGATTACAGATATGAGCCACAAGTACTTGACAGAATGGTCATAATGTATCAATATTTTTTATGGGATTCATCCAAAAAACGATGCTTTTTCCACAAAGATAGTCTCCCTACATTTTTCTCTGTAAGATGTATATTCATAACTATATATTCTAGATGTTTATATCCTTTCTATATGCCAAGCTGAAAGTACTAGACAGGAGCAATATGTAATATCTAGGAACAATACATCCTTGAAATAAAAAGTTGGAAATGTATATAAATAACATAGTTTTACCTGTTGTTGAACACGTGTGATGAAGACATATAATTATTTTGGAAAATAAAAAGATAACTTTTAGCAACCTCTATACCCACAATGTGATGAAAAACATGGAGAATAGTGATAATTGTGACTCAAAATACAAAGCTTTTCGAAAATCACATAGAGAAACAGATGCATGACTTCAGTATAGGAAAGGATTTTTAGAATCCTTTGAAGCTTTAAAAAAATTTTCACCATTAAGTAATTGTAGAAAGACTTTACATAGCCATAAGTCAGGTTATGAGTATAATGAATTTTGGTCAATGTCACCCTTCCCTTTGTTCCCCCCAGTTTTTCCTCTCCTAATCCTTTGAAGATTTTTTAAGGAGTTTTAAATAATTAAAAAGCCTAATTATAAAAGAAAATTTGACTATATTAAAATTAAGAATTTTTTAAATCAAAAGATATCATAAAGATTAGAATGTGAGTCATCATGCCAAAAGATATGTTTGCAGTATATAAAAATGTCAAAAAGAGTAATCTAGCCGGGTGTCAGTGGCTGACGCTTGTAATCCTACTCAGGAGACTGAGATTTGAGGATCATGGTTCAAAGCCAGTCCAGGCAGGAAAGTCCGTGAGACTCTTATCTCCAATAAACCACTCCTAAACCCTGAAGTGGCACTGCGGTTCAAATGATAGAGTGCTTACCTTGAGCTGAAGAGCTAAGGGATAGGCGCCCAGGCCCAGAGTTCAAGCCTCACAACTGGTGTAGTCCACACGATGTGAAAGAACTATTAATCAAGAAAAAAAATACATTTTCATTTCGGCAGCTCATAGACTAAATTTGGTATGATACAGAGAAGATTAGCATAGCTCCTGTCTAAAATTTTCGCACATTCATGAAGCATTCCATATAAGAAAAGAAGGCAGAGACAACCCAATTTGAAGTGATACGTAAAATATGTGAATAAGCACTTTAAAAAGAGCAATTTATGTGGCAAATAAACATGAAAAGGTGCTCAGCAACTCATGGAACTGTAAAAACTACAGTGAGATGTCCTTACACATCTCTAGATTAGTAAAATTCAAAAGTCTGACCACATTAAGTATTAAAAAGTAATGCTGCTGAGAATGTAGGACAATAGGGAACTGTCCTTTATAAACAACTATATAATTGAAACCATACCTAAATTATAATTGAACTTAATAGTTTATCTGGTGGGATTAAACGATTTCTAGAATGGCTAGTTGTCAGAACAAAAACTGACACAACTCTCTGGTCTTAGAATATAGACATAATGTATACTTCCTAATTCTACCTATTCTATTCTTAAGTAGATATTTAGAGAAATATAGCTAAATACATACAAGGATGTATTTAAGAGAATGTTACAATATTGTAATAACTTTAAAAGAGAAGCATCAAAAATGCTCAGTTGCATTGGAATGCATAGATAGCATATGAATGACAAAATACTTAAGAATGAGAAAATTACGTTTATATTCAACAAGGTATTTAAATTCAGCAATATGTTTATATTGATCAATTTTACATGCATAGTGCTAAATAAAGCAAAGCGATAATAGCATATGATACTATTCCATTTGACATTTTAAAACAGGAAAAAAATTATTTTTATGGTTTATCATATACAAGGTAGGAAATGAGTATCACAAAAGTCAGAGTAGGGATTACTTTTTCTTTTGTCAGTCCTAGAACTTGAACTCAGGACCTGGGCACTGTCCCTGAGCTGCTTTTTGCTCAAGGCTAGCACTCTATCACTTGAACCACAGCACCACTTCCAGCTTTTTCTGTGTATGTGGTACTGAGGAATCGAACCCACAGCTTCTTGCATGCTAGGCAAGCACTCTACCACTAGGCCACATTTCCAGCTCTGGGATTACTTCTGAGGAAGGAGAATATGGAGAGTATGAGACTTTTTGTAGTGTTCATGATGCTTGATTTCCTCAACTTAGTGGTGGCCACGTGAGTGTTTTTACAATTTTGTTTGTTAAACTATAAATATTATGTTTTGTTCTTTTATTTGTATGTATTGTGTTGGATCATATAAAATTTCAAGTTAAACTTCATACCTTCATACACCTAGACTAATATTTTATTTTACAATAAAATTGAAAAAGAACAATAGTTTTTTTCTTATATAACAGATGTAGAATGTGGAGATAAAGGGATGGTAAGACAATTGAGAGAATCAAGCTGTACTTCTTCACAAGTAAGTCAGATGTTTGATTTCTGATTTCTAAGAAAAACATTCTAATTTTATATTCCATTTCCATTTTTTTTTTCGGGGTGGTTGTGGGGCTTGATCTCTGGGCCTGGGCACTGTCTCTGAGCTCTTTAGCTCAAGGCTAGCACTCTACCACTTGAGCTACAGTGCCACTTCCGGCTTTTTATGTTGATGTGGTGCTGAGGAATCAAACCCAGGGCCAAAAAAAAAAAAAGAATTTGTTGTAGTGAGTATGTATCTAAGGAATAACATCTCTGGGCAACAAAAACATAAACAGGAAAATTAGTATTTAGGTTCTCAATATTTATAGAAAAGGTAAAGAAGCCGGGTGCTGGTAGCTCACACCTGTAATCCTAACTACTCAGGAAGCTGAGATCTAAGGATTGCGGTTCAAAGCCAGCCTGAGCAGGAAAGTCTGTGAGACACTTATCTCCAATAAACCACTCAGAAAACCAGAAGTGGTGCTGTGGCTCAATGATAGAGTGCTAGCCTTGAGCTGAAGAGCTGAGGGACAACGCCAGGCCCAGAGTTCAAGCCCCATGACTGACAAAAGAGAGAGAGAGAGAGAAAAAGAAAATGGCAAAAAAGGACAGGTACATAATTTGTGTTAACATCTTCCTGTTAACAGTATGAAATAATAGCTGTCTGAGATAACCAACTATGAAGATAAAAGATTTGTCTTGGTTCACAGTTTAGAGGTGCAGTCCCTGATCATTGCTTTGGGCCTGTGGCAGCACACTACCTCACATCATGGCTAGGAAGTGAAAAAAAAGAGGAAGTGACTAAGTTCTCATAATCCCCTTCCAAGGCATACTTCTTCCTGCCCCCCAAGGACCTAAAGATAATCTTAATTAGAATTTGCAAATAGTCCCAAGCTGGGACACAAGCCTTGAAGAAGAACATTTCAGAGTCAGACTATAACATGAACCAAGTGAAAGCAAAATTCTTAAATACAAGTTAGTAGACAATTTTTCCAGAGTACAATGTTGTAATTTTAAAGAAAATTACTCTTAAATACTTTCTTCAATTTCAATATGATCAGTTTGTCACTGACTTTTTTTTTTAGATAGGAGTAAGGAAGATGGGAGCCAGAAAGAAGAGAAAAATAATTAAAATAACTAGCTTTTTAATTTTTTGAATATATAGTACCAGTTTACTGTTTTTTTAATTTACTTATTTTATCTGTGAAATGATAATTTTTGATTTCCTACCTTGTACATTTTATGTCATTTTATTAATATAGTAACATTTATTACTAAAGTTTTCTGTTACTTTGAATTTGCAGGCTACACGTACAGAACACTTTGGAAAGTCAATAGAAAATACTAGTGACAAAGTAGAAGAAAGGGCTGAAATTTTTTCACGAAATCCTGAAACTCCTATATTTTTAAGAACTGAAGCTGTGAAGACACCTGAATCTTTGGAGAAAATACAGTTTCCAAAAAGTCCCTTGTTTGAAATGTAGGTTTTTAAATACTACTTTTAATTAAATTATCTCTTCGTTGACATATAAATATTGTAAGGGGTTTATTATGAAATGTTTCAGAAATGAAAAGGAGAGACGCTAGTGTAATGGAACTCCATATATTCATTCCTCTGAAAACTTCTTAAATGTTTTAGTGATTTGTTTCATAAAAAAGCCATTTTTCCTGAATCATTTATTTAGCTGAAGATATGTAGATTCTGAGTATTCATTCCATATGGTAGTATATAGATATAAGATTTTCCAAAGGTTGAGAAAATTATGAAAAAATTACAAAGGTCAAACTAAAGAGCTACTGTCATTTATGGTAGATTATAGTCTTAATATTCATTAATGTTCTAGCAGTTATTTTTCCATGTGTTGTTTTGTCTAAAGCAAGAATTGCCATTCTGTTACATAACTTCTTTAGGCATAAATATCTCTCTAACATGAATATTTAATTATAAAATTATAAAATACAGATTTGTGATTAGCAGCCAAGAAAGTAGTGCTGCAATTAACCTTTATATTTAATTCAGTCTCTTCTTTTTTTTTTTTTTTTGGGGGTCCGGTCGTGGGGCCTGAACTCTGGGCCTGGGCACTGTCCCTCAGCTCTTCAGCTCAAGGCTAGCGCTCTACCACTTGAGCCACAGCACCACTTCCGGCTTTTTTTCTTTTTGCTTATGTGGTGCTGGGGAATCGAACCCAGGGCCTCAGGCATGCAAGGCAAGTGCTCTACCACTGAGCCATCTTCCCAGCCCCTCAGTCTCTTCTTTAACATTGAACCATGAGGTTCTTCTAAGACACATGTCAAATAGACTTTACTTCATCAGAAATCATCCACCTGTGGTCTATATCTGTATTTTGAACTACTAGTAAGAGTTTTGTATATGAATATTCTGGTGTGTTGACTTATGCACAGCATGTTCAAAGTAGAAGTCATCAAATTTGAAAACTGGGAAATATCAAATGCTTAAACCTCTCTCCATGGGTGAGAATATTACTACACACACACACACACACACACACACACACACACACACACACACACACACACACACACACACACACACACACACACACACACACACACACACACACACACACACACACACACACACACACACACACACACACACAAATGTATATTAGGTGGTGGAGATTGAACCCAGTGCCTCATGCATGCCAAACATATTCTCTACCCTTGTGCTACAATCTCAGCTCTTATGTGGCAGTATATGCAAGTCACTAGGCACTTTATAAATAATGCTTATTTATAGTTCATAACAACTATTTAAATTGTAGGCATGTTATTATCTTCATTTTCTAGATGTGGGAATAGAATTTACTGATAAAACTAGTCAGTGTTATAGTTGAGATTTTTTAAACAGACAATTCTGGACATAAAATCCTTATTTTTAACTACTGTGTAATATATTATCTTGTCTAATTTTTCTCAGATCATTTTATATTTAAACTCCTTTACATAGCATTTTTTAATGGCTGGCTTTTCTGTAAGATCTTGTGACTGGATTTTGAGATCTAAAAGATAATGTCAAGGTTAAGTGCTTGGACTTTGAATCTGAATTGTTGTAGTAAAATTTCAACTCTAGCACTTCTTTTCAGTTATCACTTAACTATTCTTGCTTCCAAATTCTTGTACTGCAAAATGAAAGTTACAGCAGTAGTAACTACCTATCTCATTGGATCATTTTGTGAAGTAAGTTATTCTTATGGAAGTACCTGGTAGAGCACCGGGTACCAGTGGTTCGTGCCTGTAATCCTAGCTACTCAGGAGACTGAGATATGAGGATCACAGTTCAAAGCCAGCCTGGGAAGGAAAGGCCATGAAACTCTTATCTCCAATAAACCACCGAAAACCAGAAGTAGCACTATGGCTCAGGTGGTAGAGCGCTAGCCTTGAGCTGAAGAGCTCAGAGACAGTGCTAGGCCCAGAGTTCAAGCCCCAGGACCCACAAAAAACAAAAACAAACAAACAAACAAAAAACAAGAAAGTACCTGGTAGAATTGTGCCTGATAGTATATTCTCAGAAAGTATTCTTACCCTCACGTTGATTTTTCTACATTATTTTCCACCAAAACCATCTTTTTACCATAGGTTTGTCACTTTAGTAGCTACTCCCTACTTTTTCTACTATGCTAATTTTTACCTCTATGTTACTGCTTATGGTACTTACCATTTGCATTGTTCCACAAGAGCTTTATAATATTTTAATGCCTTCTTAATTTCTCTGTAACAGAAATAGAAATACAGTGCCTGAAGATCAAACACAAAAATCTCCTGGATTTTCATTTATTACAAGTTTTGCTTCTAGATCACCAGGATTGAATTTATTTGACTCCTCTGTATTTGATTCAGAAAACTCATCAGATCAGGTAAAAGTATAAGTTTTATTTTTAAAAACTGTACACTGGGGCTGGGAAGGTGGTTCAGTGGTAGAGTGTTTGCCTTGTATATAAGCAGAGTGCTTGCACCATATAAGCAGAAAAAGCTGGAAGTGGCGCTGTGGCTCAGGTGGTAGAGCTCTAGCCTTGAGCTGAAGAGCTGAGGTACAGCGCCCAGGCCCAGAGTTCAGGCCCCACGAACGACTCGCCCCCACCCCCCAAAAAATCTGAATATTAGACCTGGCATATAGATAAATAGTTGAGTGCTTGCCTAGCATTGGTGAGGCCCTGGTTTGATACTCAACACCATGAAAGTAAAACAACGCTACTAAAGTCCTAAAAATACAGATTTTTTTTTGGTTGGTGGTGGTTGGGCTTGAATTCAGGGCTTAGGTGCTGCTGTTCCTGAGCAGTTTTGCTCCAGGCTAGCTTTCTACCACTTTGAGCCATAGCGCCACTTCTGGTTTTTAGTGGTTAATTGGAGATAAATGTCTTGTGGGGACTTTTCTGCCAAGATTGGCTTTGAACCACAATCCTCAGATCTCAGCCTTCTGAGTAGCTAGGATTACAGGCATGAGCCATGGGCTCCTAGCTAACACAGGGAGGATTTAATTTGTAGTTTAAAATTAATTTGATTTTATAATGAATGTGTTTAACTCCTAAGCAAACTACATATTATCAATTAACTTAAAATGCTGTTATAAATTGGTCTTTTCAACTATATGTGTGTACCTTGCACCTCTGTCATTAGTTAGTTTTAAAGGTAAGTAATTCTCTGGTCTGAAAGTTTGACTCTTATGGTAAGTTGAATATTAACTATCCTAACAACCACAAGGTCCTGAGTTCAAACCTCAGTATTACCCCCTCCCTAGAAAACAATTTCCTCCTAATATTTTTACTGTTCATTGACATAAATCATGGTAGATCATTTTTGCATTTAATACATAAATTGAAGAGTTAAGATAGGCTTTTAGTGAGAGTAGAGAAATACTGTGTAGTGGTTAGAACGAGCTTAGAAGTCAGATAATAACTTGTATGTTTTGCATGTGGGATTTGAAGTAGAGAAACTCTCAGTTTCCTTACCTGTAAAATGAAAATAATAATTTTGTTTGCGAATATTAAATGAATTTATGCACACAAAACACCTTGAAAAGTCCCAACCACTTAATAATGCTATGAAAAGAAGTAGCAATGTAATGAAAGTATTATTATTGCTCATTTAGGTATTTTTATGTGGATTAGAAGTTTTAATTGCTGTGTCCTCTTACAGTAAATGGTTGACATATTTTTTTCAAGAGATGATACAGTACTGTATCTGTATCATTGTATATCTTCACCTTTTGCTTCAGTTTTTACTTAAGTGCTAATTTGAAAAACTACTGAAGTAAATTCCTAGAAAGAATGGACTAAAGAGTTACGACTAAATTCTCATTTAAGACAACAACAACATAGCTATACATAAACTTAATGGGAAATGGGCACTTTAAATAAAGAAAACTATAAAACCACTGAAAAATTATTGAATACATAGATATATAAAATACACATGTAGGAAGAATATGTTGTAAAAATAAATTTGTTCTCAGGTAATTGATGAATGTATTTGGAATAATAGAAAATTTATCTTTAATTTTGTTGTTTTGTTTATGCAGAGGTAGAGCTAGGGAAGGAGACTGACAAAATAATGTTTCTTAGGAAAATGTTGTCAAGAATTATCAAGAAAATGTTCAAAAGTAAAACTGATAATAAAGATGGAATTCTGTTTTTTAAAAAATAGCAAAGGAAAAACAAACCTTAGCTGACATAGTGGCTCATGCCTGTAATCCTCACTAATGGGTAATCTGAGATCAAGAGGATTGCAGTTTATGCCAGCCTAGGAGAAAAGTTGATGTGACCCTTTCCTAACCAATAAAAGGCTAGACACAGTGACAAATTATCCCAGCTTAAATAGGAAAATTCAGGCTAGCCCTGGCAAAAAGTGAGACCTTACTAAAAAAAGAAAACAACGAAAGAAAAAGAGCTGAGGCACATGGCTCAAGTAGTAGTATACCTACCTAGCAGGTACAAAGCCTTGAGTTCAAACCTTGGTGTCACCAAAAAGTTTTTTTTTAAGGCAAAAAAAAAAAAAAGGAAAAGAATAATAAAAGATAAAAGAGCCAACATAAATAGTAAAATGCTACAGAAAATTAGAACTTTATAATAATTCTATTAATATGAATGAGTTAAATGCTCCATTAAAAGATAAAGATTGAACCAGGCAGTTCTGCCTTATGCTTGTAATCTTAGCTACTCAGGAGACTGAGATCCAGAAACAGTGGTCTTGAAACTAGTGATTTTGGAGACTCCATCTACCAGATAACCAGCAAAAATCCTGGGCTAGAGGGGCACTGTGGTAGAGTGCCAGCTGAGCAAGCAAGCTGAGCTAATGGAAGGCCCTAAGTTCAAACCCTGTAACTGGCAAAACAAAAACAAGGAGGGGAGGTAAGGGGAAGGCTAAAGATTCTAGCATTGGATAAAACAGAATTACCTGAAGCCTGGTGGCTCACACCTATAATCCTAGCTACTCAGGAGGTTGAAATCTGAGGATGTGAGTTTGAAGTCAGCCCAGTCAGAAAAAGTCTGTGAGACTCTTATCTCCAATTAACTACTAAAAAGCCAGAAGTGGAGTTGTGCTCCAAGTGGTAGAGCCCTAGTCTTGAGAGAAAAAGAAAAAGAAAAACTCAAAAGCTTGTTTGTTTGAAATAAGGTCTATGAAGTTCAGGCTGATCTCAAACTGGTGGTCCTCCTCCCAAGTGCTGGGATAGGCCTTATTTTAATGTAAGTAAATAAAGATAGAATGTAAATGAAGATAGAATTCTTTTTTTATGCTGGATATTGAATCTAGGACATTATGTAGCTAGATAAGGCTTGTACCACAGAATCATATACCCAGTCCTAAGACAGAACTTGTTTTAAGTGCAATTCTATGTTATATAAGAAGTATGACTTACTTTAATCTTGAATATTAGATATGCTTTATATACTGTTCTACTTATTTTACAAGTAATAGTTTGTGGGAATTATTTTCCAGTTTAATGAGCATTATTCTGCAGTAAATCTAAATCCTCCGTCACAAGAAATTGGTAAGTGATTTGAAGTTTGCTACATATAAAAACATATTAATTTTCCCACTACTTTTGTGACCCTCACTGATCTTTCCTTCCTCCTTTCACTTCCCCACCCCTTCCTTTCCCTTCCCCCCTCCCTACCCATTTCCCTCCCTCTTCTCTCCTACTCTCCAATTTCCCTCCCTCCCTCCCTCCCTCCCTCCCTCCCTCCCTCCCTTCCTTCCTTCCTTCCTTCCTTCCTTCCTTCCTTCCTTCCTTCCTTCCTTCCTTCCTTCCTTCCCCTCTTTTCCCTTCCTTTTTCCCTTACCCTTCCCTCTTCTCCCAGTTTTTCCCTCCTGGTCCCCCTCCCTCACAAGTTGTGTAGTTCATTTTCAACATAATGTCTAGTGAGTATCAGCTGCATTTGTTCACCCTTTGTCCCACCATTTTTGTGCTCCTCCTGACTCTCACCAAAACTGATAATCTTACATGAAAGATGAAAGGTACAGTGACAAAGGAGCAAAACAAAAAGCAAAACAACAAAACCTCTTTGTTTCCATTTCTTGGAGAGTTCATTTCAATAAACATCATTTTATATGAGCATATGCACATAGCAATCGAGCCTTTGTGATCCTCTCCTGAGAACATTCTCCTTTGGTCTCACAGTGTGAATGTTTAGAGTGGAAAAAAATATAGGTGCCTAGATGACATTTCAAGCAAGGCTTTACTGTTGATTTTTAATTGTTTAGTAATGATTAATTTTAAAGTAAATTTAAGATTTTAAAAATACTTTTGTATTTATAGCTTTAAATAATATAATGAATAAAAATCTATTTTTCCTTATTGGCAATTTTGAGAGTCAACAACCAAATAATTGTATATGTAAAGTTAAATGAAAAGTTTCTTTTTCAAACTGTAGAAGTCTTTCTACTGTTCTATTTCTATTAATAATGTCATAAACATACATTGTGGCTACTTAATAAGTATTAGTTAGATAAGTTTGCTTATGTAGTATGTCTCCAATCCAGCATTTTTTTTCTTCCATTTTCATTGCTGTGATGGTAGGTGAGGTGAGATTTTTTGCCATCTCTTTGATGGACTGTAGTTTTTTCCCCGTTTTTATCTGTCTCTGTTTCTAGGTTCTTTTTACACATTCTCTCTTGAGTAAACTTTATGAAGCAGTTCAATTCATGTCTTAAATGTTTATGATTTTCTGTTAATTCATTAAATAAAGCCCATATTCTAGAGTGGGACATTCAACGTTTTTTTCTAAGCTCACCATTATTAATTCTGATTTAATGTATCCTTTTTATTTCTTAGTGCCCCTGCCAAGTTGAATTGATTGTGGTTACCCTAATCTTCTATGCATGCCTATTTCTGGGCCTTCAATTCTTCATTTCTACTCCATATTTTTAACATGTACACAAGTTCCTTGTAGTTGCAAGTTGGGCTTAAGTTTATGTCTTTTGTAGTTTTCCATAGTACCAAGAATGATGCCTTGCATATATGAGAAATCTATTGAAATATATGCTAAATAGAAAAATGATCTATAATCTATTATGTTATATACATGTTATGTGTCAAATAGCATGATCTCATTATGTTTATCTTCTCCAGGAAACATATTTGGGAAACCAGAAGGAGAAGATGCCTTTACATTTTCTTTTCCATCAGACACTTCAACTCATACATTTGGAGCTGGAAAAGATGACTTTAGTTTTCCATTTTCTTTTGAAAAAAGTCAAAACACACAACCTTCCTCTTCAAAAGATTTTTCACCTTCCTCACAAAATTCAACACAATTTACATTTTTTTGAACTAGTTACTAATTTTTAAATTATTTTATTGCTCTATAATCATCTAGAGTAAAACTTTACATTAATACTGAAAACAAAGATATTTTTGTTGATTAAAATAATAAGTAAATTTCTATAGTTACATTAATTTGAGTATTTAAATATTCAAATATTGAAATTTTATTGTGGCATTAGCTAATCATTTATTTTCATTTTGACTTTAGATGCCATATTCAGGCAGAACTTTCATTAATCTTAATAGAATTCAATACTTTCCCCATTGATCTTTATTATAAATATTAAGCCTGCTTCTCCTAAGAACGTAAGTTCTATTCTTGAATTATTTCAGTTGTGTTGATAGCATAAATTCAGACTATCAGAAAGACTGTTTGATGATAACTATGTAGAACAGGGCTCAGGAATATTTCATCAGCCAAAAAAAGACTAAAAGTCACTAGGATCCAAGTGTTTGTGGCTCACACCTGTGATCCTAGCTACTCATGAGGCTGACATATGAGGACTGCATTTCAAAGGCCAACCTGGATAGGAAAGTTTGTGAGATTCTTATCTCCAATTAACCACCAAAAAGCCAAAAGTGGAGATGTGGCTTATGTCGTAGAGTTCTAGCCTTGAGCATGAAAACCCAGAACAGCATTCAGCCCCTGAGTTCAAGCCCTAGGACAAGCACACACACACGTACACGTACACACACACACACACACCACTAGAGCTCACTCATACTTCATTATTGCAACATGCATGATAGTATTATAATTTCAAAATTTATATTATTGATAGTTAAGTCTGTCCACGTGTTCTTCAAAACACAACAAATGGCAAAATTCTAATTTTACTAGTTATGTTAGAATCTTTTATGAAATCAAAGGTGAAAGACTAATTTTAATATATATTTTTTATTGTAAAGATACCGTACAAAGGGGTTACAGTTACATGAGTAAGGTAATGAGTACATTTCCTATGGGGCATTGTTACCCCCTCCTTTGTTTTTCCCCTACCATCCCTTTCCTCCCAACCTCCCCAACTTCTCCCTCTCCATCCCCAAAGCTGTAAATACAGTTCATTTTCAATATGGTGTCTTGTACATCTCATTGTTACAATGGTTGAAAGACTTATGTTTGAAAATTTTTCAGTAGTACTTTTTTTTTTGGTAAAATCTATTTTGAATAACACTCAAGATTTTGATTCCTGTCTTCAACAAGAAACATTGCATATTGTTATTTTTAGTATTGACACATTTATATATTCAGTTTAATTATATGTAGCTTGTTAATATCTTAAATTTTAATAAAATCATAAATATTTTTCAGTATCTGTATTTTAGTTGTACTGATTTATCAAGCAATAAAAATGACTTCATATTTTGATGTATAAGTACTTAAAAAAAAATCTCATTGTTTCTACTTATCCTTCTGCTCCTTATCTGGTCAAGAAAGCCTGGGTCCTCTTTTAGTTGAGTGCTTGCAGGAAATTCAAACCATGTGGGACAATCCTGACCCCTTAGCCAGTGTAAAAACCCAAATACAGACTAGGCTCCAGTGGCTCATGCCTGTAATCCTAGCTACTCAGGAGGATGAAAACTGCTTCAGAGCCAGCCTGGGCAGGAAAGTCTGTGAGACTCTTTATCTCCAATAAACCACCAAAAAACTGGAAGTGGCGCTGTGGCTCAAGTGATAGAGCACTATCCTTGAGCTGAAGAGCTAAGGAAAAAACGCCCAGGCCCAGAGTTAAAACCCCCGAATGACAAAAAAAAAAAAAATCCATTCACCATTTTCTTGATTTCTCAAGCTATTTTCATGCCAGTTTAGGAGACCTGCTTTCCTTTCCCCTAGAAAACCTTGCTACATGAATATGAAATTATTTGGTGTGTCTGTTTTGTGCATGTCCCTTATAAGTCTGAATATACAAACCAGTTTTGGATGAGAGTCTATGCTGCTTTTTCAGAGTATCTACAGTGTATTAGAATTGTATAACATTAATCTTTTTCCAAAGGCTTTAAGAAGATTGATCTAATTGACAGGATTTCAGACATATTTAGACTTTTAAAACATTTAATAACTGGGTAAAAATGACAATTCAAGTAAAAAAGCTTTCATAACAGGTATTTTATGACCCCATGACTAAATTAATTGGTAGTTTTGATGTATCAAAGATAAGAGACTCAAGCAGGAAGCTGGTGGCTCATGCCTGTAATCTTAACTACTAAGGAGGTTGAGATCTGAGGATCACTATTTGAATCCAGTCTGTGTGAAGCTAGTCTGGGCAGGAAAGTTCATGGACTCTTACCTCCAGTTAAGCACCAGAAGACCAGACGTGGTGTTGTGGCTTAAGTGCTAGAGTTCTAGCCTTGAGCTAAAGGAGCCCAGTGATATCACCCAGGCCAAGAGTTCAAGCCCAAGATCAGAAGAAAAAAAAAAAATGAGAAAGGAGTAAAAATTGTAATTTATTGGTTATTTAAGATTTGAAATTGGTTTCAGCTTTTAGTATCCCAATAATTACATGATTTTTGTACTTTAGGATTTAAACTTACCATATATCAATAAATGAAAATATTTAAGTATCCACAGTGGCTGAGCATGGTTGTTCAGCATCTGTATTTCTAGCTACTCAGGAAGCTGAGATCAGGAAGATCACAGTTGAGACCAGCCTTGGCAAGAAGTTCCCAAAACCACAACCCACCCAATAAAATACTAAGCATGGTGATATGTGTCTGTTATGTGCTATCTGGTCTATGCCAGTCCTAGCAAAAATAGGACCCAATTTGAAAAATAATAAAAGGATAAAGTACTGGAGGCATAGCTCAGGTGGTAGAGTGCTTGCCTAGCAAGTGTAAAAGGTCCTGAGCTCAAATCCCAGCACTGTCAAAAATGAAGGTTTATGTAGGTATCTTGACAACATATAAAGGGTCTCAATGTAGTATTATACTTAGGGAACTTAGAACTAGAATGAGGGGACAAAACTTAGGAAGCGAAAGCGAAATATCCATTACAATAAAATAGTTATAATTGTTTCTATGGGAATAACTTGATCTGAGATTGACAAGACACCAGTTGCTTCAACAAATAGAAAAAGAAAGGTCATTATAAACTGGAAAGGCTTAGAAGTCACTGAACAGGAAAATTTCTAATGAAGACATTTTAAAGGTGTGCAGACCGTAAAATTCTTGACGATAAGATGGATGTGTTTTTTTGCACTTTTTTTGGCCCTGAGGAATGAATGCAGGGCCTCAACTATACTTTACCATTGAGCTACACACCTAATCCTGAGTTGATGCCTTTTCAGCTTTACAATTTTTGTTGCCAAACTTTTTTTTTTTTTTTTTGTCGGTCGTGGGGCTTGAACTCTGGGCCTGGGCGCTGTCCCTCAGCTCTTCAGCTCAAGGCGAGTGCTCTACCGCTTGAGCTACAGCGCCACTTCCGGTTTTCTAGTGGTTTATTGGAGATAGGAGTTTCACGGTCTTTCCTGCCCGGGCTGGCTTTGAACCGCGATTCTCAGCTCTCAGCCTCCTGAGTAGCTAGGATTACAGGCGTGAGCCACCAGCGCCCGGCTGTTGCCAAACTCTTAATGGCTGATGTTCAATATAATTTTATTTTTATTTTTTTTTTAATTTTTTTTTGGGTCCAGTCATGGGGCCTGAACTCTGGGCCTGGGCACTGTCCCTCAGCTCTTCAGCTCAAGGCTAGTGCTCTACCACTTGAGCCACAATGCCATTTCCGGCTTTTTTCTTTTTGCTTATGTGGTGCTGAAGAATCGAACCCAAGGCCTCAGGTATGCAAGGCAAGCGCTCTACCACTGAGCCATCTTCCCAGCCCTCAATATAATTTTATAAAATACTTCTGAATAGGATTGAGTTGGTAAACAGAGTCTTCTAGATAAGCTTTTTGGATATGAAAAAAAGACTAAGATTAAATAGACAACACAATCAGGTAAAAGAAATTCAACCACAGCTTTTGTTTTAAGAGCCAGTATTTTAAAACAGTGAGGGAACCTTCAGGGAAATGGAACATGTAGTATGCATGTGTGCTTGCATCCAGTAACCAGTGAGATTGATGTTAAATAAGAGGCCGGGATTGTAACAGTAGCAAGATTGATATCTGTATAACAGACAGTGGGCAGGAAATTCAGCCAGTAGAAATTGATGAGGTCAGGATTGTAAAAGTAGTAAGATTGACATCTGTATAGCAAGACAGTGGGCTGGAAATTCAGCCAGTAGAAATTGATGTTGCACTCAATTGCAAAGTCCACAGCAGAGATAATCAGGCTGGCAACTCAGGGTTTTTATGTTGGACTCTTGGGAAGAATTTCCTCTTTGAGAAAACTTAGATTTTCCCCTGAAAGCCTTCAGCTGACTGGATCAGGCCCACCTACATTATGGAGGTTAATTTTCTTTATGCAAAGTGTACTGATCAAATATGTCAATCAAGAACAGCATTGCAGCACTCCTTCAGTCCCAGCCTGTTAAGTGACGGAAGCTAGAGGACCACTTAAATTTCTTGAGGATGTGTGTGTGTGTGTGTGTGTGTGTGTGTGTGTGTGTGCCTATGAATGGCTTAGCCTGTTAATAACAAGACATCATAAAAACTAGATAGCGTGTAAACAGTAGGTAATTGTTTCTCATCGTCTTGGAAGTTGGAAAGTCCAAGACTGACATATTGGCAAATTTGGTGTCTGGTGAACACCAAATATTGATATATTTTTCATTTTTCATATAAAGTAAATCTCAAATTTCTTTTGGGACTTCCTTAAAATCACTTAAAACTTGCTTGTTTAATTTTCACATGTTTTGGTAGGTTTTTCAAATGTCTTTCTGTTATTTCTGTTTTAATGTCATTATGGACCAAGAAATGTTCTGGGAAGGGCAGTACTGGGGTTTGAACTCAGGAACTTGTGTTTAGTAGGCAGGCCCTCTGCCACCTGAACCATGTATCCAGCTCTTCTTTCATTCTTTCTTTCTTTTGTTAGTCATAGGACTTGAACTCAGGGCCTGGGCACTGTCCTGCCTG